ATACACAAGAGGATATTATATATTTATACAATATATAAAATATATAAAAAAAATATAAAAATTTGTAGAGTAATAAAATTGCTTTTTATAAAATTAATATCATAATAATCAGAAAAGAAAATAAAATCTGTTGTAAGATTAGACTAATTTTTCATTTAATCATAATTTAAATGATAATCTGACTTAAAAAAATAAATATAAATATTAAAAAATATTATTCTAAATTAACACAAAATGAAAAGATTAAATAAAAATTTATAAATAAATAATATATTAATTTTTGTTAATATTCATTATCTTATCTATATATATAACTATATATGTATAACTATATCTTTATAAAAATTAAAACGAAGATATCTTAATTTTTTGATATATCGAATTTTTCTCTTAAATAAGAAATTGAAATTTAAAATTCACAAACAATATCAATCAACAATAAACAATAATAGTCAAAAATATATTAATAAATAATATCAAAATAATAATACAAACCATTAATAAATTATGAAAGGCATCCATTTCTGCAATTGTTTTCATAGCAGTAGCACCAGTTTGATGTTTTGGAGAAAGAGCAATATTTATAAACATAACAATTAAACATCCCAAGAAAAAGCAAGATATAGTTAATATCCCAAATACATAACACCATAATAAATTATTCCAATAAAAGAATCCGATTATAGGTAGAATATATAAAATATTAGACCACATCATATTGAATTTTGATTCTAGTTACATGACAATGAACATTACATCTTCAATTTCATATTTGTACGACTACATCGTACAAACCATGATAAGATATGTCGAAACGTAAAGATGCGCATTGAGTCAATAATACCGCCATTGCGAATCCATAAACTATATAACGCTAGTTGGAAAAATTATATTCACAAACTTTTTTCAATTTTTAATTTACAATTTGTACGTACAATTTGTACGTGTATAATCATTTCAAATGAATATTTATTAATGTTTACAATTTTATTATAATAATATTATAATAATAATAATAATAATAATAATAATATAACATATAATAATATTTATTATTAATTTATTTCTAATTTAAATTTTTATTTATTGTATAGTAAATCTTTCTATAATATCTGTATTGTATATTGTAATATCCTTCCTTTATAATATTTCTATATATTATTCTTACACATATTTTATTTTTAATAGAATTAAATAAATAATGTAATGTGCGTGGTTTTTTTTTTTTAAAATATATTTACTTATGAATATTTATAATTTTAATAATCTTTTCTTATTACTCATCCATTAAATT